AAAAAAAAAAAAAAAAAAGTTACCTGATAGGACTAGATTTTCGTCTTTTAGGTGTATTGAGGCAGGGAAAATGTTTGAGAACTGGTAGATTAGAGAAGTAGAAGCAGCCATAGGTTTAAGAGTTGCACGAACACAGCTTTTCACAGGCCTCTATATTACCACTGGTTTCTCAAAATGTTTTTGTTTTTTAACCCTTATGGCAGCGGACAAACATAAATTTCAGAGATTCCTGACTGCTGACATGGCCCTGGTGGTGACAGTATATGCACCAATCACTTTTCCTCCTGCATCTGTGCTGCTTTTCAAGCAGAAAAGCAATGGTGAGTTGAGCCACAAGGTGAACAGACCTACAGGTCCTTAATAGGATTAACACTCCTTTGTCTTCTGTGTTGAGATTTGGGAACCAAATGGTATGGAGAAGGTGGTGATGGTTTTCGAAATATAGTAAGTCTTCACTTAACACAATTAATAGAACAATGAAAACTGCAACTTTTTTTTTGAGATGGAGTTTCGCTCTTGTCGCCCAGGCTGGAGTGCAATGGCATGGTCTCCGTTCACTGCATCCTTTACCTCCTGGGTTCAATTGATTCTTCTGCCTCAGCCTCCTGAGTAGCTGGGATTACAGGCACATGCCACCACACCTGGCTAATTTTTTATATTTTTAGTAGAGATGGGGGTTTCACCATGTTGGCCAGGCTGGTCTTGAGCTCCTGACCTCAGGTGATCCACCTGCCTCCCAAAGTGCTGGGATTACAGGTGTATGCCACTGCAGCCAGACCAAAACTGCAACTTTTAAGTGAAACAATGTATAGCCAGTCCTCAAATAACTGCCTTTTGGTCAACATCTTTTCATTGTAATAATTGATGAGAAAAAAAATGGTTTTGTTACACATCATTTCTCTTAACATGCAAGTTTTCAAGAACCTATTGACAAGATTAAGTGTGGACTTACAGTTTATCAATCTTAGTGTCACAGTGGGCTAGGGCAGGGATGACAAACCAGGTTTTATCTTGCTTACAAACCTTAGCTGATTGGTAGAGGCTGCTCCGAATGTATTTAGGATAGGTTCCAGGGACAGGCTTAGCAGGAATGAAATGGAGTGGTTTTTGCTGTGATCCCACAAAGGGCAGCCTCATCAACACAACTTTACGGTTTCTCCCAAGAAAATATCGCATGGGTCTTTTAAGTGGATTGGGACAATAGATGAAGACTTTGGCCTGTAATTTCCTAACTAGCTGCTTTGCTTTTGTCCCTTAGGAATGCACAGCCTCATTGCTACGGGCCATCTTATGTCAGTGGATCCAGACAGAATGGTCATCAAGAGAGTTGTTCTGAGTGGTCATCCTTTCAAAATTTTTACTAAGATGGCAGTAGTACGTTACATGTTCTTCAACAGAGGTAGGTATGAAGGAGGAGGAGGGGATCTGATTGCCTTTGTGGGTCAATGTTTCATCTTGGTCTTTTGTGTGTTTGATTCTAAGAGGATGTGCTGTGGTTTAAACCGGTGGAACTGAGAACAAAGTGGGGCCGTAGAGGACATATCAAGGAGCCTTTAGGTAAGGAAACATGGGATTCGGGACCATGTCTAGATTTCTGCAGTGTTACTAATTGACTATTGGGTTGAAAGTCATTGCTTTAAAATTTTCTACTTTTTTTTTTTTTTTTTTGAGACGGAGTTTCGCCCTT